TCTTCCGGTCACTCGATTTCTGAGCTCAATTTAGGTTTCTAAAAAAAAAAATAAATGAAACTACGGTAATCCGGATTAAATTCATTTGATTGAAATCTTCTTTTGATTAAAAGTTGAATGAAAGTGTTCACTTTGTTTCTTTTCGATCAACCGTTCCTTTTGATTGGACTTCTTGATTGGAAAAGTTGGAAATTCATTCAACAACGAACAAATGAAGAACTCATTTCTTGCATAACAAGCAAAAACAAAATCTTGATTAAGTTGATTTGCCTTTAGCTTTTGTAGAAATTACGAGAGTAGACAAGTTCTTTAGAGCGTATTGTAGGATTTCTGCTTACGGGAGTAGACAAGTTCTTTAGAGTGTGCTCTGTGTCGAAAGATATCTTTTCTTTTGCACTCAATTTTCTCATCCTATTGGGTTGGGGAGAATGAGTCGGCGCGAAACTTTAAAGGGACTTTTTGCACACATAAAGCCTTCTTTAAACATACGTTTGGTTTCATCAAAAGGATCCACTATTTCTCTACAAAATCACTTTTGAGAGATTCCACAAAGCTTTTCTTTCGTCGAGTTTATGAACTTCCAAACGCAGCTGGTTAAAATGGCAAAGAGTCCGACTCATCATTTGAACAGTTTCTTTCACATAAACCTTCTTTGGTGTTTATATAAAAAAGATAGAGCACATTCAATTACTTAAGTTGCCAAATTTGCAGGAAGATCCCACCAATGGTTTTTTCTAGATCACAGTTTGTAGTTTTTGTGAAAAAATGGCTTTTTCTTGAGCGGAGGCGCTGTTTGAATTTTCTTTTAAATGTGATTTTGTAGAGAATTAGTTAACCATTCTACTCATATCAAACGCATATTATTTGACGAAGTCGAATTGAAGTTTTAGACATTTTTTTCATTTTCGGCGCCGACTCATTCTCCCCAACCCAATACAATTGAGCATACTAGAAAAGTTTTCTAGAAAAAGTTTCGACAACAGAAAACAAAGTTGAAAGAAAAAATACTATCAAAACAGTTTTAGTTAACAGCTTTAGCTAATTAGAGATAAGTTTTGCTTTGTTGAGCTCCCGTTATTGGAGTCTTAGTTAAGCTCAACTTCCAGATAAAGTTTGTTAAAGGAAAAACCAGATTTCTTCAATGAAAAACGCTTACAGTAGAGTATTTGATGCTTACAATTAGACTAAACTAGATTAGATTAGTTTTTTAAACAATCATTCAATCAAGGCTTTGAATTTTACTCAATAATAACTTATCTCGATTTGTATTTGCCCTTCCCCAACACATTTCTTCGATTTTTTGATATTCAAAAGTCAAAAATTGATATCAATTTAGAATAAACAGTAATCAATTCAAAGCTTTACCTTTCCAGCTTTACCTTACCAGCTTTACCTTTCCAGCTTTACCTTAGCCTTTTCAAGGCAAAAAAAACGTCACTCCATTTTTCCACTGAGAGAATATTTATTCTTCGGCTAAGCAAGTGAAATTTGTATGATTCCTACTGAAATTCGAGTCGGCTAGTCGGCTAGAGAAAGTTTTTTCCGAAAAGTTTTCTCCTTTCCAAACTTTTCCCATCAATTCGTTGTGGATTAAAAGTTCAAAAAACAGAAATTCACAAACAAAAAAGTATGCCGAAGTTTGGTCTGGATTAGTTTTGGTATTTTTTCAAAATGACACTATTTTGGTGTCAAAATCAGAGTTGAACGTTGGGGAATTTTTAAAATGAACTTTTTAGATCAATTTTTCTATTAACACATTAATCTATTATGCAAAGATTACACAAAAATTACACAAAAAAAAAATTAATCCCAAAATGTAGGCGTTTTTCTTTTGAGTTTGAACGGAGCAGGGGTTTCACGGGTGGACAGAATTCTTTTCATTCATCAAAGATTATTTCATTTTCTTTTTAGATTAATGATCTGAATGAATGAGATTTTGAAAGAATTGATAATTAATGAATGAAAGTTATAAAGTTATATTTGATACTGTTATAAAGCAATGTTCAAAGTAATACTATTGGGTTGGTGAATTGAAAACTGCCGGACTTTGAACTAAAATTTATTTAACATAAAACCATGAATTCATTCCAAATAATTTCCATTATTATTGACGACTTCTGCCCATTTTACAAGCAATTTGCGGATTCCTCTTTCGTAGTAGGATTTTGGTTTGTGTGTGAGACAAGTGTGAGACTCAAAAATGGAGGACTGGAGATGTCCCAGTTTGAGCACTTTCTTCAAAAGAAACCCATTTTGGTGTCAATAGAAAAGTTGTAGAGAATCAAAAATTAGGCTTACAGCCAAATTTCCAAAAAGATACACTTAGTAGTTTCGCTTAAAATGCAAGTTTTGTGAAAATTCGTAAATTTGACAATTTCTTGAAAACTAGTTTTTGAATCGTTCTGAAAATTTGGATATAAGCTTCATTTTTGATCCTCTACAACTTTTCCATTGATACCAAAATGGGTTTCTTTTGAAGAAAGTCCTCAAACTGTGACATATGACAATATCCCGCAGTTTTCAATTCACCAGCCCAATAGATTGAGATTAGCCTTGATTTGAGGATTCGGAGCGGCCAGCTTAGTTTGGTATAAAGAGAGGGAAGGGACTTATGTAAAAGTCCTGCGCCAGACGGCGAGCGATTATGCGGCCGGACAAAGAACGAACGGAACACACAAATTTTAAGCGAAACTGCTATGTGTATCTTTTTGGAAATTTGGCTATAAGCCTAATTTTTGATTCTCTACAACTTTTCTATTGACACCAAAATGGGTTTCTTTTGAAGAAAGTGCTCAAACTGTCACATATGACAATAGCCGGCAGTTTTCAATTCACCAACCCAATATCAATGACTGATCATTGTAAAAGCATCAATTATCTTTGAAATCAAATTTCAAATAATTGATTAGTCGCTTTCTTTAACGGACTTTTATTTCGCAAATCCCTAACCGAATTGTTGGGTTTATGAATGAAGAATTTCTCTCATCGAAGACCATTTCGGTCCTTCTCCAACCTCAAATCTCAGCAATCTCAGCAATCTCAGCAATTAGCGCCGTAGTACAAATGAGTTCAAATGTCTCACTCATTTCTTCAGAATTCCCCTCAGAGTACCCAAAAAAAACTCCATTCGCTAAAAAAAACCCATTGCTGTGGGGAAAATCACCGAAAATCAAAGGTGATGATTTCATCGGAGAAAATTCCCATTTTTAGCTCACACTTCATTTGGGGGAGACTGGGATTTTGTTTTGTGTTTTTCAGGATTCCCTAGGGATTCTTTCCTCAAGAATCTTCGTCTACACCCTACAAATGTTACCGTATTTTCTCGGAAATCTTTTTTTTTTCACACAACTTCACGCAAACAGAATAATTGATATTAGAGAAGAAAAAAAAAGAAAAGAAATAATTGGTAGGACAAAAAATGCTTTGAATTTAAGGGTATACTGTGATAACTTATGACATTAGATGAATTGAATTGGATGAAATTGGAGTGGGAAAGTTCAAGATTATGCTCGTCTTACGTTCGAATTTTATCCTTTTTATAAATAAAATGATTTAACTCACTATAGGTTTAAAAAGTTATAAAGTTATAAAGTTATAAAGTTTATAAAGAGCTTATTTATCTCGGTATTGTCAAAAGCCGATCCCGGATCGAATTCGGGCTGTTTGAATAGAGGCCTGAGCCTGAGCCTGACCCTGAGCCTTATCAATGCCTGGCTGGCTGGCTGGCTGGCTGGATTTCTCTTTAGAATCTTATCAATGTCATGTACTTGCTCAGGAAACTGGTTCAGTTACTCAACTTGTTAACGCCTCAACCATTCTTGCCTAGACGAAAAAGCAAACAAGTGAAACGCAATCCAATATCGAACTTTAGTCGTTCGATTCAAGTCGAACGACTAAAGAACGACTAAAGAACGACTAAAGAACTAAACACTCTACCACTGAGCCACAAAGCATCAATGACATCACAAAACATCATTTTACTCTCAACTCTTTAACAAAAACGAGAAGCAGATTAGGAATCAGTGTAAAAATTCTGCGTCGAATAGTATATGGCTTCTGTCATTTGGCCAACAAACCTGGTATTCCCTGCCTATCAATGCTAATGTATTGCTAATATTGCAAAGTAATATAATGAAAAGTTTTATTTCTAAAACCCTCAAAAATATCAAAGAATCGTGAAGAAGAGGGAAAAAAAGTCGCAAAGAAAAAAAAAAAACAAAGGAAACACGTATGGGCAAACACGAATGAACATTCACCGGGGTTTTTGTAAATTCTTTCAACAACAAATACCGAATAATCAACAATGCAAAAAAGCAATCACAAACAGAGCGAGAACACAAATTGACTTTTTATGGCACATCATTTTTTTATTTTTTTATTTTTTAAAAAAAGAGCTACCGTATGAAACTATTTACACCGAAAAAAAAAAGGGGAAAAAAGGGAAATGCTACGACTATTTGAAGGAAATCCTAGCGTCTAACCTATACACAGTATCTACAAATATCATAGTTGACAATGGAGGAGATCAAGCGCGATTTGTTGAGATTCAAAAATTTCGGGAAAATGCGATTGAAAGCACAAAAACAAAGTAGATCAAAAAAAAAAAGTCAAAAATTTACCCCATTTTCTTTTTTTTTTCTTTTCTTGGTTAAACCGATATGTTTAGAGAGTTGTGGGAAATGAAATAACGATTCCTAGCCGGATAATAATTGTACCTAGAGACCCAGGATGAAATCGATAGCAATCGTAAAGTTTCGTAGGCGTTGTAGATTTTTTTAAGACTTACAATTGTCGAAAAAGAAATGTCCCACAGTGGAGGCTACCCGTTAAATAGGCGAAGACAGCACGGTTTCATTTTTTAAAAGTATATTATATAGTATTTTTTTTTTAAGAATTTTAAGTATTGAGATTGTTTTGACCAAACAAAAAAAGGGATTGAGGATTGAGAATTGGAGAATTGAGAATTGAGAATTGGAGAAATCGAGATGATATCGAGATTAGCATGGAGCACAATGCGCCTTGATAGTCTCCATTGTGCATTGCTTCGCACAGCATTGCTCGGCGAGACCGGCTCGTTTTGTTCGTCGTGAGTGCTCTGAAAATAGAAAAATTGTTCATTGCTTTCATTGCTCATTGCTCATTGCTCAAGACTAACCAGGCTTCAAGGCTTCTAAGCTTTTTTTTTTTGAATCTAGCTTTATCCTCAATTCTGTGAAAGAATTTGCAAACGTCTTTGGTCAAAGAAAAGAAATAAGATCTCAAAACTCTTACCATGATGATGCTCATGAACGTCTCGTTTTTTTCTCAAATCAAAGTCCGTGTCGCTGTCGATTTTGTTCGTCGGAATTGGACGAGTGCAACCGTTGCAAACCTAAAATTGAAAAATGAGTTGAGAGTTGAGAAAAGTAAAAGAAAATCGCTCGATTTTAAAAAAAAAAAAAAACTAACTTTATTCAATGTATCAAGAAGATTTCGACCGCAAATTCGAAATTTCGTGGTTCGTCGATATCGAGAGAATTGAAACTCAGAGTTATCGGCGCTTTCATCGGCGAGTTGTTTCTCGATTAACCGGTCCAATTCTTCTAGCGGCGTTTCTTCAAATATTGTAGCACTCGTTTGTCGAATGATGAAATAAAGAGAAAACGAGACGAAGATCATATTCAGATGCAAGTTCAGCATAATTATTGATGAAGCTCGGAGCTTTGAGAATGTGTTGAGTATCGGACAGCGGAACGGCTCTGGCTATCGCATTTTATGCTGGGGGAAGGACCGCCCCCTTGCTCCGCCCACCTCTTTCCGCCCCAAGATCTTTTCCCCTCCCCCTTTTTTGGAGTATGACTATGAGAAATGCGACTATGAGAAAAAAATAGATAAAACTTCAAACAGGGAAATCCTCTCTTCGTAGATGAGCCCCGCCTAGAAATGTTTCGATTTTAAAGGAACAGATTACCGGGATAAAAAACAACTACACAGACAAGTTGACCTCAAGCGTTTTCACTTCCGTTATATCGTTTTGATCATCCGAAATCTTGTATAGTTATGCAAAATTGATTAACTAATGCTGGTGACCTTTCTGGGGAAAAAAACTCCAAAAACTAAGAGCTATCTTCTGAGTTTTAGACAATGGGTGTTTTAAACAATTTTAAACAAAGGTTTTTTGAAAAGCTTTTGAATTGGGAATTTTTTTGAGTTAAAAAGAAAAGAATTTGATGAACAACAGCTTTCTTTGCCTCAATGAACAAATAGATTGCAGTTTTTTTTGAAGAGACAAAGTGTAGGTGTTAGAAATTTGAGGTTTAGAGATAGAATGTATGATTTGAGGCAGATCCTAAGAAGAAGAAGAAGAAGAGAAAGGAAGAAGAAGAAGAGGAAGAAGAGGAAGAAGAAGAGGAAGAAGAAGAAGAGGAAGAAGAAGAAGAAGAAGAGGGAAGAAGAAGAAGAAGAAGAGGAAGAAGAAGAAGAAGAAGAAGAGAGAAGAAGGAAGAAGAAGAGAGAAGAAGAAGAAGAAGAAGAAGAAGAGGAAGAAGGACTAAGATCCAAAGAATACTGTAACAGTTTGATTCTTTAACAGTGAGTGTTGAGAGCGTGTCGTGCAAAAGCTTGGCGTCTCGATTCTCCACGCTTCCTTAAACTTTTGTTTTTCAGTCCTATTGAAGTGAGCTTTATCAATGAGCTAAACACTTCCCGATCAAAACATAACCAGCATTGTTGATCAAAACATTTCCCACTTTTTCCCTTAACGACTACAATTTCTTGTTCGTTTTCTGTAAATGGAAATGCTTTTGTTTGTTGAGATTTCTTTCGTTTCCAAATGTTACGTAGATTGTAGTACTCGCCTTTCTTTGAAGAGAATCCAATTTTAGCGCTTAATTCGGAGATTTTTGAAATCATTTCTGAAAAGAAGCCGTACAGCTATTAGAAAAAAGATAGAATCTTGACAAAAAGCGATCTTCGATGAAGCTTCATAGAGATCGCTTTCCAAAATAATTTTAAGTCTTCATTCTTCTGTTATAGTCGATGAACGACTTTCAAGCTATTTCAAGGGTTTTTTTTTTGTCTATTTAGACTTAAAAAGTCAGCCAAAGCGATGAGTTGGCAGCGTTGAGTTGCCGGGATTAGAAAAAGGAAAAGAAAAAAGGATAAAATTTTGAATTTTGCTGAGGATGAGACAGAGAACGGCAAAGCACTCCATTGGCCGTCTGAGGATTTTGCAAATTTGGATTTTAAGAGAATGTAAGTTCTGGTGTTTGGTGGACGGTTCTCGGAATGGCTGATTGACTAATACCAACGGTTTCAAACGGAGATCCGTACTTGGACCAGATTGGTCAAACCTGACTCATGTTCAGAGTTGAGGACCAGGGTTAACTCGAACTAGAGCCAAGTCCAGATAATTTTTCGTACATTCGTGTAACATTCTAGTACTAGAGCTTGAAGCCGGGCTAGGTCAGTGAAGCCCAGATCAGACAGGGGTAGGCTAGGTTAAGTTTGAGCGAGGCAGTCTTGAGTCTTGTGCTTGAGTCTTGTGCTTGAGTCTTGAGCTTGAGTCTTGAGCTTGAGTCTTGAGCTTGAGTCTTGAGCTTGAGTCTTGAGCTTGAGTCTTGAGCTTGAGTCTTGAGCTTGAGTCTTGAGCTTGAGTCTTGAGCTTGAGTCTTGAGCTTGAGTCTTGAGCTTGAGTCTTGAGCTTGAGTCTTGAGCTTGAGCCTCTGGAACAGTCTTGTTGGTATTAGCGAAGACAAAGCCTGACTCCAGGCAACTTTCTATAAATTCATTTCAGTTCAAATTTTGCAAGGATGGGCTGCTTTCCACTCTTTGAACAATTTGAACTACTTCTTTCCTCAGCGTACGACTTAAATGTTTGTAAAGGTCGACAAAACGGATACCATCAATTTCCGAGTGTCTCGTCAAACCGGAAAGGGTGAAATGGGTGCCTTGCTATCCTTTTCTCTCTTTCACACACTCATTACTCAAAATTTTTCGCTATTTTTTCAAAGACAAAAAAAAATGTCGTCTCTAGTCTCAGGGAATGAGTTACGCGCGTGTAAATTGCGCGAATGACTAAGTGAATAATGGAAAGTTCCCATCAATAATTGTTTCCAGCCTTTCTCTAGCCTTGAAGTACAACGATTAGTGCTGGGAAATCAGAAGTACACTTGTTTTGATAGAGTTGAACCAGGAAAAGCCTCTAGTTAAGTAAAGTTAAGTTAAGTTAACGTTTTCTTTTATAAAAACAGAATTTTACGTTTCATGTAGTTAGAAATATGTGTTTTTTTGCTCCCTTTTGTACTTGAATATCGAAAAGAAATGTTTAAAAATGATCGTTTCAGGAAGTTGACGCGTTTTATTAAAGAAAGTGGCTACTTTCTTTAATATTGGGTTGGGGAGAATGAGTCGGCGCCAAACTTTAAAGGGACTTTTTGCACACATAAAGCCTTCTTTAAACATACGTTTGGTTTCATCAAAAGGATCCACTATTTCTCTACAAAATCACTTTTGAGAGATTCCACAAAGCTTTTCTTTCGTCGAGTTTATGAACTTCCAAACGCAGCTGGTTAAAATGGCAAAGAGTCCGACTCATCATTTGAACAGTTTCTTTCACATAAACCTTCTTTGGTGTTTATATAAAAAAGATAGAGCACATTCAATTACTTAAGTTGCCAAATTTGCAGGAAGATCCCACCAATGGTTTTTTCTAGATCACAGTTTGTAGTTTTTGTGAAAAAATGGCTTTTTCTTGAGCGGAGGCGCTGTTTGAATTTTCTTTTAAATGTGATTTTGTAGAGAATTAGTTAACCATTCTACTCATATCAAACGCATATTATTTGACGAAGTCGAATTGAAGTTTTAGACATTTTTTTCATTTTCGGCGCCGACTCGTTCTCCCCAACCCAATAATTCTTTAAAAGGAGCACTGAGAGCACTATTTCTGAGAGGATTCCGTTCCGAATCTAATTCCACATGAACAATTGTTCTTAAATTTTGTCTACGGACTATCAATTCGTAAAATTTCACAACGATTAGGGGAAATGGGGAAAGAAAATGAAAGTGGAAATAGGTTCAGGACGGAGTTTTCCCCAAATCTGATATCAAATTTAGACAAAAAAAAAGTTTTATTCTCGAGTATTTCAAAGCACTTTCATAAGCTTATAGTCAAGTTTTGTTGAAATTTCAAAAGCATTACTGCGTCAGACTGTTTTCAGCTTTCCCATTTTGAAGTAATTTTCCACATTTCACCCCACGAGTCCCTACAAAACCCAAAAAGCTTTTTCCATGCTTATTTTTCATATTTCTCATTCACCATGCCAAATTTATTATCGTAAATAAAGAATGAGCATATTTACTCTCTAGAGTCAATCTCTTCAGGTCAATCGTATCGAGAATCCGAAGAAATTTCGGCATAGACTTTGTTTTGATTGAAAAATTTTATACGAGTTCCGGGGGGAAAAATTCGACGAAATCTCGTAAATATCGATGATTTTTCGACAATCTTCTCCGCATCTCCATTGGGAATTCGCTAAGTGTTTTTCGTGTTTTTCGTTAACTCTTTCTCAGTTACAAAGCTTTACTTTATCATTAAAAGAATTTCAAAAAAATATCGAGAAATTTGTCATCTTCAGAAATTATCGAAGTATCGAAGTAAACAAACAAACAATTAATGAAAGAAGAGTTTTTTTTTTGTTGTTTTGTTGTTTCTATGGAATTTCTATGAAACAAAGTCTTATTTGAGAAGTATTTGATGAAAAAAAACAAAGATTTATGTTTAATAGAGCTATTAGACTTGCTTATTGGAAAAAGTTAACAAAAAAATAGAACAAGTTACGGTAGAAAAAGATAAGAAATGACTACTACTAGAATATCTAGTAGAATACATGCGATTTCTACTATACCCAGTCAAAGACGTGCTTTAGGACATACCTAAAGTCAAAGATTGAGTCAAAGACAGAATCAAAGATTGAGTCAAAGACTGAGCCAAAGATTGAGTCAAAGACAGAATCAAAGATTGAGTCAAAGACTGAGCCAAAGAGTGAGTCAAAGACAGAATCAAAGATTGAGTCAAAGACTGAGCCAAAGAGTGAGTCAAAGACAGAATCAAAGATTGAGTCAAAGACTGAGCCAAAGAGTGAGTCAAAGACAGAATCAAAGATTGAGTCAAAGACTGAGCCAAAGAGTGAGTCAAAGACAGAATCAAAGATTGAGTCAAAGACTGAGCCAAAGAGTGAGTCAAAGACAGAATCAAAGATTGAGTCAAAGACTGAGCCAGAAAGAGTGAGTCAAAGACAGAATCAAAGATTGAGTCAAAGACTGAGCCAAAGAGTGAGTCAAAGACAGAATCAAAGATTGAGTCAAAGACTGAGCCAAAGAGTGAGTCAAAGACAGAATCAAAGATTGAGTCAAAGACAGAATCAAAGACTGAGTCAAAAACCTAGCACGTCTTTGACTGGGTACGGTAGAAATAAAAGATTAGGAAAAAGATAGAAAGAAAAAGAATCGAAGAAAACAGAACAAGATCACAGAAGCATAGAAAAAGAAAGAAATCTTATTTCATAGAGTTACAGTACCGAATCATATTCAAATTATGCTTCTACTGTACCCAATTGAAATCAATCACTGTAATGCTTGAATACCAAATCGTATTGAAATTATGTTTCTACTGTACCCAA